CGGTCATTTCCAGACCCAGGAACCTCCACATGAGGAATTTCTGTTTGGGCTGGAGGTTGATCAGGCTGTTGAGCCACATCGGGCGGAAATGGGGTCTCCACCGCCTCCGGAGGGGTACAATCCCCAAGGGCCGGGTTATACCGGTCAAGCCTATTTGGCAGCGGCGCAGGAGATTCCATATGCGCCAGTTTATTACGAACCCGGAAGGGAAGCTCAGGTGAGCATGAACATGCCTAAGATGAACAGTCAGGGCATGAAACCCCCAAAATGGAATGAAGATAAACAGGCCTTAACCAAGTGGTTACAAGAAATCATCATATATTTCAAAACCACTATGGCACCCCGGACACAATGGGGATGGATAGCACTGAATACTCTTGAAGAGTCAGTGAAACATGGCCTACTAGCCCTGTTGGGACACATATGGGGGATAACAATTGATGCAGAAGTGCTCTCACAGCCAGACTTTCAACTGTCATGGGAACAGTTTAAGTATGGCATGGAGACACTTTATGATCATAAATGTTCCGACTTCGAAATTCGGTCGGAAATAGCAGCTTTTACAAGGGCAGGGACCTCGGGTCCCGATACAATCAAATACATGCAGCTCTTGGAACAAATGTTTCTCAAGTGTGAGAACGAACTTGATGATTTTCCAAGTTGCATGCATTGTATACTGGACTCCGTCCAGATATTAAGAGGAAATGCCTCTTAAATAAAGATGATGAGCAATTGACCACTTATGCCAGCCTGAGGGCGCATTTATATAAAGTGGGACCAACATATGACCAAGAATACAAGGCATATGGCTCTCGTCGAAATGAAAGCCGGGATGGCAAACCGCACACGAGCAATCGTCTTGCTCCTAACAGAGTTATTCAAAAATACCACGCATTGAAAGTGGATCGTCGTGGCAAACCAGTTTTGAATAACAGACCGAGAGGTCAAGGAGGGACGACTTACAAAAGTTCTCGTGTTGCTATGAAAATGCAGCCGCAGGCTTCGCATGGGGAGCGGAACTACGAGCCGCCGGCCGATATCCGCGACCCAATGGAAGAAAAGATGGTCACCAACAGTGCGCAATTACGCGACACAACGTTGGAAGTCTTGAAGCGGGCTGGACGCTGTTACAAGTGCTTCAAGCCCTACGCAGCTGACCATCCCCGCGAATGCGAAGGGCGTGGAGTACTCCCGCAGATGCCGGTGAG